AACAATAAAATTAAAGGACTCTTACACTTCCTGATTTCGAAACTTACAACAAAAATTTGAGCAGGGTTAATTCAAGGGTTAAGTTCACTGGTGTTAATAATTACGTTGTTCCAGCATGAGCAGGAATAAGACTTTGTCTCTACTAAAAATAGAAAAAGTGGGCTCGACGCCTGTGGCTCAAGCAGCTAAGATGCCAGCCACATACACCTGAGCTAGCAGGTTCGAATCCAGCCAGGGCCCACCAAACAACAATGACAGCTTCTCCCAAAAAATAGCTGGGCATTGCGGCAGGTGCCTGTGGTCCTAGCTACTTGGGAGGCGGAGGCAGAAGACTTGCTTGAGCCGAGGAGTTGGAGGTTGCTGTGAGCTGTGATGCCACGACACTCTACCCAAGGGGACAACTTGAGGCTCTGTCTCAAAATAAATAAATAAATAAATAAATAAATAAAAATAGAAAAAGTAGCCAGGTATGGTAGTGCAGGCCTGTACTCCCAGCTACTTGGAAAGCTAAGGCAATAGAATCATTTAAGCCCAGCACTCTACCTAGGTAGATACTCTGTCTCAAAACAAAAACAAATGATGAGCCATGCATGATAGCTAATACCTGTAATCCTAGCATTCAGGGAGGCCAAGTCTATGGATTGCTTGACTTTGAGACCAGCCTGAGCATCTATTAAAAATGGAATAACTAGCTGGGCATTGTAGTGGGCACCTATAGTCCCAGCTACTCAGGAGGCTGAGGCAAGAGGATCCCTTGAGCCCAAGAGACTGAGATTGCTGTATGCTATGATGATGCCACAGCACTCTACCCAGGGCAATAGAGTGAGACTCTGTTTCAAAAAAAAAAAAAAAAAAAGCCAGGTGCGGTAGCTCATGCTTGTAATCCTAGCAATCTGGGAGGCCAAGGCAGGTGGATTGCTGGAGCTTACAGGTTTGAGACTGGCCTGAGCAAGAGCGAGACCCTGTCTCTAAAAACAAAATAGCTAGGTGTTGTGGTGGGCACCTGTATTCCCAGTTACTTGGGAAGCTGAGGCAAGAACATTGCCTGACCCCAAAAGCCCAAGAGTTTGAGGTTGCTGTGAGCTATGATGACACGGCACTCTATCAAGGGCTACAAATTAAGACTGTCTCAAAAAAAAAAAAAAATTGGGGCAGCACCTGTAGCTCAGTGGGTAGGGCCCCAGCCCTATACACCAAAGCTGGTGAGTTTGAACCCAGCCTGGGCCTACTATACAACAATGACAACTGCAACAAAAAAAATAGCCGGGGGGCAGTGCCTATGCGCCGGCTCCATATACCTGAGGTGGGTTCAAACCTGGCCCCGGCCAAAAACTGCAAAAAAAAAAACCAAAAAACCAGGCATTGTCGTAGTCCTAGCTATTTGGAAGGCTGAGGCAAAAGAACTGCGTAAGCCCAAGAGTTTGAGGTTGCTGTGACACCACAGCACTCTACCAGTGGTGACATAGTGAGACTCTGTTAACAACAACAACAAAATTATGTTGTAATGCAATTAACCTCAATAGTTCTAAAAAGTAAAAGAAGATTTGAGCAGAGAATGTGACAAAAAAAAAATTGGAATGGCTAATAAACATACTATACCATGGGTATCTCACTGACAATATCACAGTATCACTAACTGTATCACATTATAATATTTGACACTTGCAAGACTAGAAAAAGAAATTTTTGATAATGTCAAAAATTGGCAAGGTTAGTCACTACCTCTAGTAAAGGAAGAAATGGAAAATGTCATTTGAAGAGGCTTATACAGGCGATTTCAGTATATCTGTACATTGTTTAGAGATAGAGTCTCACTATGTCTCACTATGTCGGTAGAGTGCTATGGCATCACAGCTCATAGCAACCTCTAACTTTTGGGCTCAAATGATTCTCTTGCCTCAGCCTCCCAAGTAGCTGGGATTACAGGCACCCATGACAACACCCAGTTATTTTTTTTGTTGTAGTTGTCGTTGTTTGGGAGGCCCCAGGCTGGGTTCGAACCCTCCAGCCCTGGTGTATGTGGCCAGCGCCCTAGTCACTGCGTTACAGGCTCTGAGCCTATCTGTACATTTCTTAAACTGATAGAAGAACAGGTGTCTTCCCTCATCCCCCTGCCCATCACCTTTGAGACAAGGTCTTGCCTGTTTTCCAGGCTGGAGTGAAGTGACATGATCATAGCAATACTGAACTTCTGGGCTCAAGCAATTTCCCAACTTTGGCCTCCCAAAGTGCTGGGATTACAGTATAAGCCACCACACCCAACTGGTTAAATAAGTATTCACTATAACTTACATGTATATTATAAATATTATTTTGTATTTACTCAATATTTAACTTAAAATGTTGAAAAAAACTTACTACAAAGCTATAGTAATCAAAACAGTGTGATAGTGGCATAAGGATCAACATATTGATCAAAGGAATGGAATTGAGAAATAAACTATGGTCCACTGACCGAACAAGTGTGCCAGCACCATTCAGTGGGGAAACAATAGTCTTTTCAAGAAATGGTGCCTGGGCTCAGCACCCACAGCACAGTAGTTATGGTGCTGGCCACATACACCGAGACTGGCAGATTCAAATCCAGCCTGGGCCTGCTAAATAACAATGACAACTGCAACCAAAAAATAGCCAGGCATTGTGGCGGGTGCCTGTAGTCCAAGCTACTTGGGAGGCTGAGGCAAGAGAATCGCTGAAGCTTTAATAGTTCTAAAAAGACAAAAAATAAGCCCAAGAGTTTGAGGTTGCTGTGAGCTGTGATGCCACAGCACTCTACCAAGGGTGACATAGTGAGACTCTGTCTCAAAAAAAAAAAAAAAAGGCCTTGGCACCTGTAGCACAATGGTTACAGTGCTGTCTACATGCACCTAGGCTGGCGGGTTCAAACCCAGCCTGGGCCAGCTAAACAACAATGACAACTGCAACAAAAATAGCTGGGTGTTGTGGCAGGCGCCTGCAGTCCCAGCTATTTGGGAGGCTGAAGCAAGAGAATTACGTAAGCCAAAGAGTTAGAGGTTGCTGTGAGCTGTGATGCCATGGCACTCTACCAAGGGCGACATAATAAGACTCTGTCTCAACAAAAAAAGAACTGGACAAAGGACTTTAATAAACTGTTCTCCAGGCTCGGCGCCTATAGCTCAACCGGCTAAGGCGCCAGCCACGTACACCTAAGGTGGCGGGTT